AATCACATCCCCAGCTCCAAGAGTAGACATATGTATATCTCATGTGTATACAATAGTACCACATGACATGCCTTACTATGTCACTCAATTGCCTGAAGGACTACATGTGTTGAGGATTTAGTGATGAGAAAATAGAGCTTCCCATCTCAGGATCACTGCCCAGAATGGTAGTGTGATCCAAATTTATTTCCATCTGTTGGCTATGTTGCATCCTGTGCCAAATAAATGTGTAGTGCCAGTCCTTTTCTTTAGTAGCCTGGTGTGCATTTCATAAAAACCATCGGCACCACTTGGTGGCAATTCCTGATTTAAAGGTTGTTCCACGGATGAATTGAAATTAATTTTTGAGAAGCAAAGTTCTTAAAACGGTGGAGCTTGGGCTTCCATTAGAAAGTATTTTGGGGTGTGGGTCAACAGGCAATGTGTGGCTTTTAACCAAAGCTCACAACCTGAGATGCTGTTAGACCCTTCTGTTACCTCTGGCTCCAAAGCTCCCAAATTAGAAGTGTGAATACTGGAGCCACAACAGAGGGAACCAGCTTTTTTCTGTAGCATAAACCCTGGTACGTGGGGTTCAGCTGCTAGACTCAGATGTCACTACTGGCACTGAACCACTCAGATAACAAGTGTTAATAGCAAAGTGCTAATGTCATCCATTCTGCTCTGGCTGCTAACCTAACATTAACTTAGACTCGATAATTCATTTCACTCTACACAAAAGAGATGCTTCCAACTGTGAGATGCCTCTGATTACAGGAAGGAAAGCTGATCTTTTGGTTCAAGTGCTGGACAGGAACTCCAGAGTTCCTCGGTTCCATTTCTGACTCTGCCACAGACTTCCTTTGTGACCTTGGGTAAGTCATTTATCTCTCTGGACCCAATCCATCTCCCACAAAAATCAATGGAAAGAAGACTCCCATTAACTTTAATGAGAGTTGGAGCTGGGCCTGTGCACCTCAGTTCCCTATCTATAAAATGGTAATAAATACTTTTTTTATCTGTGTCTAACTCTTATTACCTATCGTACAAAATGGGGCCCCAATCTTGGTTGGAAAGTCAAGGTGTTGCTGTACTACATATAATAACTACAACATTCTACCCACTCTACTTACCAGGTTATTATCAGCTGTATGAAATGTAAGAGCTTTTTCTCTCCCTGGCATGTCATACAGGTTTTGTTGCCCCGCCCAGAACAGGTGCTGCACCTTTTAGAGGCAAAAATAAAGGTTTGTTTCAAGAGCAGTTAAATGGTTCAAGTTTAACGTTTGAGGGATCTGGAGGCTCAGCCCCTACAATGTTTTCAATGTTCTTTGGTTTGTTTCTTTTTTGAGCCCATCTCTGTAAGACAGTAAAGAGGTTAACAAAATTATATGCAGTGGGTGTACTTCTTTCATTACTCTGTGATGCAAGGGATTTGTATTTATTGTATAAACTGAATGACTAATACCACCACAAAGACTGTTTGTAAATGTGGAATTAGTCAAAGAAATTATTTGTGCATCTAATTAAGGATAATAACAGTTTCCCTACACAACTGTAGAAGGCTGAGTGTCCCTTTCCAGACACTGATATCTCTGCCTCTAACAGATGCAGAAGGCATATGCTTATGCATGGAACATTTTGATTGCTTCAACACAGCTCGGATTAGCAGCAGTTAATAATTGATTTATTGAAGCTCTTTAAGCCTTCATTAGCCTCAGTGGATTCATGCTTTATAATTATTGCCATGATTATCCACAATACCATCTCTGTTATTTTAAACCTAAGAACGAACTAGGGGCCATGCTCCTCTTGATCTGCTCCTCACAAACAGGGAAGAATTGGTAGGGGAAGTAGAAGTGGGTGGCAACCTGGGCAGCAGTGACCATGAGATGGTCGAGTTCATGAGATGGTCCACTTGCTCCAGGAAGTTATCCCCAACACTCTCCAAAAACATCCTGGATTATCCGTGCACTGCTGTATTGCTCCCACAGCAGATATCAGGGTGATTGAAGTCCCCATGAGAACCAGGGCCTGTGATCTGGAAAATTTTGTTAGTTGTCCGAAGAAAGCCTTGTCTACCTCCTTCTCCGGGTCTTGTGGTCTATAGCAGACGCCCACCATGACACCTTGTTGCTCTCACCTCTAAACTTGGGGGGAGGGATAGCTCAGTGGTTTGAGCATTGGCCTACTAAACCCAGGGTTGTGAGTTCAATCCTTGAGGGGGCCACTTGGGGATCTGGAGCAAAATCAGTACTTGGTCCTGCTAGTGAAGGCAGGGGGCTGGACTCAATGACCTTTCAAGGTCCCTTCCAGTTCTAGGAGATGGGATATCTCCATTAATTTATTTATTTAACCCAAAGACTCTTTACAGGCTTTTCTCCAGTTTCATACCGGAGCTCTGAGC